CTGAACAAGAGAAATAAAGGATTGTCCAGAGCAGTGGTTCTCAACCTTCCTAATGCTGTGGCTCCTTAATACAGTTCCTCATCTTGTGGTGACTGCCAATCATAAAATTATTTTCATTGCTGCAGCATAACTGTAATTTTACTACTGTTATGGATTTTAATGTAAATATCTGTGTTTTCTGATTGTTTTAGGTAAGCCCTGTGAAAGGGTCTTTTGACCCACCAAAGGGATCTTGACCCAAAGGTTGAGAAGCACGGATATAGATATAAAATAAATCAGCTAATAGTAATACCCATTATCATTCTCTCCGTGTTAATAATTGCTAAACATCAGAAATGAATTTTTAAATATTATGTTTTGATTCTCACCACAAAACCAAAAGGTAGACTCAACAAATCCATTGTATAAATTTTAGGTCTTGAGAGGTTAAGTAACAAGCCTAAAATCTCACTCCTGAGAAATCAGAGTCTGGATTGAAATCCAGGCATTGCTTTTCCCAAAGGTGGGTGGGTAGTGGAGTAGGAACTGGAGACAGAAATGGAGGATGGGCTGGAGGAGGGAATGGGGAGATGCTCTGTGGGGAGTGCTCAGAGATGGGTTCATCAGGAGATCCAGGCCCTGTTTATGTGTGAGCAGGACCTTTACCACCCGTGGTCTCCAAGCATCTGCTAATGGTTGTGGGACAGATGGCTCCCAGTGCCTGTCAGGGCATCATTCCATCAATGGCTCAGAACCCCTCTCTTACAATGGCAGTTTTGATGCTGTGCCCACCTAGTGACTTCTGAGCAGTAACATGGTTTCCTATAAGGATGACTTCTGAGAATAAACACTCTACCAATCGGAAACAACAACTTGGCATATGCGAGCATCACAGGTGGTCATTTAAGTCAAAGTGCCAGAGTGGTGAGAGTGCTTGAGCTCTGTCAGTACCGAATGTCCTAGAACTGGGGGAAGTGAGTCTCTGACTCCCAGGGCTGATGGAAAGATGCCCGCCACTAAGGTGTCCATGGTGGTTTACACTCTCAGAGATGGCCATGGACCAGGAGTTAGCCGTAACTCCATATGAAAGTAAATCCATCAAAGAACATACACCAATCACAAACAAATGGCATTGAAATTTCACCTTTATGCTGAACTCAGCTCACAGGGCACCCAAACACAGTGGAAAACCACTTCTTGTGTTCAGGAATTTGGAAAGCAAAATTCTGATGATCACTACCAGGAACATTTAAAATGTATACTTCGCAAATATTATTGGCCTACATCTGAGGGTTCTTTACAATTAAAAAAATATTATTATGTATGTGTGTTAGCATATGTATATATGCCTGCCCATGTTGACAGTTCTCTGATTTCACCTTGTAGGCACCAGGGATCAAGCTCAGGTCTTCAGGTTTGATTTCAAGCAAATTTACCTGCTGAACATCCTCTTGGGTGGGCCCTATAACTGGGAATCCAAAAACCATTGTTTAGTTTGACAGAAAGTAATAATAAGGGCCCACCATCTCAACAGATGGGGAGAGAATGATTTTTTTCTTAGACATGTATACATAGGACCATGAATATGGTATACAATGTCCTGTGTGCTTCACAGTCGCCAACAACTCCTATTGCCACAAGAGCAAGGACTAGAGGTGGTTTTAATTATTATTGTTTTATAGTAAATATTCTTTCTCTGAGTATGTGTATGTGGATGTCAGAAGCTAATTTTATATATCTTCCTCAATTACTCTTCACTTTCTTTTTTTTGAGATAAGGTCTCTCCCTAACTCAGCAGCTCATAGATTCAGGTAGGTAGTAGCCAACAAGCCCTGGGGATACTCCTGTCTCTGCCTTTCCAGTACTGGGACTTCCCGTGTGCCCTGCCACATCTGGCTTGTCACCAGCTCTTACATGGGTGCTGGAGATCTGTTTTTTCACACTTGTGTGGCAAACACAAACTAAGCTACCTCCCCAACCTGTCCACATTGTATTCATGAACCACAGTGTTGCTTTTTACTGCATAAGTATATGAGACTATATTTTGCTGTTAGTTTCTAATTAAAAAGCTAAAACAAATGTTTAAGTTATGGCTGACTATGTCCTTGGATGCAGTCAGCGGGGCCTCAGTACTAGGTATAAGACAGGGACCTGGAACCTGGGTGCACTTGGGTTATCATCTCTGACTCATATATAAAATTGACAGTACAAAGAACATGTCAGACCCTTGATGTTTTCTTTATTGAAACAAGTGGGCATGACACAGTGTGGCTGCCATTAATGCGCTTGCTGGGCATCTATTCTCTTCTTTGTCAGACACCATGGCTGTTTGCTCTCAACCTCATAGCAATCTCCCAGTGACAAAATGACAAACCACCAAAAGCAGATAAGTGAAGACCAGAGTCATATAAGCACATCTTAGAGTCATGCCTAGTTTGGGGGGACTCTCAAAGCCCTTTCTCTTTCCATTTTGACCCTGTTGTTCACCAAAATAAACTTCTTGAAATTTCAGTTCCATTTTTTTTGCTGTTGTAATATTCAGCATTCATATTTCATAATGCATTAAGAACACTAAATGAGAACACATGTACTCAAAGACTCCATACCAGGCTATGGAATTTTGAAATAGTATTATTCTCTAATGAGATATTAAAATAAAATATTTATACATTGATACATGTTAATACATTCTGTGGTAGTTGTGGAATGTTTATGAATGAATTTGGGTCTGATTTGAGATCAGGAAATGAAGTGAAAGAGAAAAAAGGAAATGTTTGCTGAATATGTACTAAAAATTATGACTATGTACAAAGTGTCAAGAATGTACAATACTTAATACAAATATTGTCAAGACCAAATAATTTTCAGTCTGGGTCTTTGTTGATGTCTCCCCATTATAAAAATGAAAAATTAGGCTGGAGAGATGGCTCAGTGGCTAAAATGGATTGCCATGGAAACATTTGGGCCTTTGTTCAAATCCCCAGAACTCATATTAAGCCTGGAGAAGTGACAGTAAGGTGATGATATCAGAGACTAGAGAATCTTCTAAAACTTCGGGGACAGTTAGCAATGCATAGCAGCAACAAACAACCAAGACACCACCTCAACCGATGTTGGAAGATGAGGACCAATATACTCAAGTTTGTCTTCTAACCTCCACACAATGCTATGAGCTGCTTACACACATATGCTCATGTTTACACGCATGAGAGAGAAGAGAGACTCTTTAAGAATTCAGGATTTGAGGATCAGCGATAAAAGAGCATACCCAGTCTACGTGGCAGAGTGGCTGAATGGCGGAGTTAGGCCCTGACTCAGTCAGCATCAAATCCTACAGTGTGTCCTAGGTAACACTGGACTCAATGAAAGCAGACCAGAAATGGGTTTATGGCCACTGTCTTTAGACCAGATGGAACTGAAAATAATAGCCCTTGGCTTTACAGTGGCCTTGTTCACGGAGTCATCTGAGAGGGCACCTTGTGTGGTGGGGGTGGGGTGGGCACAGACGCACCACCGTGAAGACGCCTGAGCTCAGAAAAGACTCTAGCTATAAATTCAAGGGCACAGTCAACAAAGCTACAAGCGGACACTGCTCACTTCCCACAAAAGCCGCTCGGGTGAAAATCAGCTTAGGTTTGAATTCTGTTTACTGAATTCCTTGCTGTGTGAACAGCCTTGACCATGCTCCTTGGACCACACAAGCTTCCATCTGTGAGCAGGGGGAACAAGATCCCTAAGGCTCAAGACTGGGCGGGGGAGTTAAATGAGTGAGCCCAGGAAGCATGGCTCGCTGGAGCCTGTGTTAAATCAATGCCTTTCCCTTTCTTGCCTCTCTAGGGTGCATTTTATGCGAGGCCTCTGGGAGGATTTCTAAAACTTTCTGCGCTGTGCCTCCAATTAGTCAGAGCCACCCTTGTCTTCCTGGCTCTAGAAATGACTATTCCCTGTAGTTTGTCTGAGCCCCGGAAATCAAAGGGTGCTGTTACAGAGGGAAAGGGGGCTGGAGCTAAAATTTAGAAAACAAGGATTGGCTAAGTGACCTTCATAAAAACCATAAAGTAAGCATCAATAAATTCTACTCCTATTTATCTTCTTAAACCTATGTTTGCCCTTTGATGACAACTCTTATTCCCCCCTCCCCCACTGGAGTTTGCTGTCACTACCTTCTGAGTAAAACCTGGAGGAGATGACTCTAGGCGCCATTGGAGAGTAAGCATTACATCCCTGCTTTATCTAACTCAGGCTCCTCTGTCTTGGGAAAGGAGGGTGTCTGCCTTATCCTAAAGCCTACATCTTTCACAACAAAGCTAAAAGAAAACTGTATTAACTCAGAAATCTATCTATCTATCTATCTATCTATCTATCTATCTATCTATCTATATATCTATATCTATCAATCTATCAATCTATCAATCTATCTATCTATCTATCTATCTATCTATCTATCTATCTATCTATCCTCAGGGCTGAAGGAGTTGACTTCTCCTTTGAATGACTCCCTATTCTGAGGCTGTCTTTGTATGGGTTGCTCTAATGGAGGCTATAAAAACTGCAACAGACCCTGTCTCCTGACCTTAGCAACATAGGCTTGGGGCAGGGGTACGAGCTCCAGGATAGACTGAAAAACCCTTCGTTTTCCATGCATTAATGGGAAGACATCTGAAATCCTTTCCTAGTAGAATGAAGGAGCAGAGCTGAAGGAGCTGGTTCCATTTGGCTCATTTGCTGGGATATGGAAGGTCCAGATTCATGCCAGGAAAACCTTTTCTCTAACTGTGCAAAGCTCTTTCTAACAACCACTGTGACAAATGTACCATGAGACACACGCTAAGACAAGGCTGTCCTGTTGAGTTTACCTGCTCAGTCTGTGTTCAGTTAAGAACTCAGCGTTGAGATGGCTGGATCCTGGAAGGGGAGTCCTCGGCTGCATCCTGGAGAACTCAGGGTAGCATGTAAGCCAGGGGTTGAAAATTTTCCATCTGCTCAGAGGAGTCCTTCAGCAGAGACTTCTCTTTACGTACCTGTTAGTTTTGGTTTCCTGAGAAATGAAGCCACAGAGCTGGGCAGTCTGGCCTCGCAGCAGGCCAGACTTCCTCTTTATGAGTTGTGGTGCTAGCCTTGAAGGTGTGGAGGCTGAGGTCCCACCACTCAAAGTTGACCTTAAGTCATACAGATTCTTTGTGCAGCCCTTCATAAGAATCAGAACACGTGGCAGCAGATCGCTGAGCAACTTGGAGCATAAAAGCGAGCTTTGCCTAGTGGACGTGAACTGTCTTGTGACTGAGTGTTGCAATGACGCCCAAAGTCCCCCCGTACTCATGGAACCCGTGACGGATTCTTCTGAAACAACTGAGACTCAGAAGAGAAATGGTTGGCTCCTATTCTTGCTGTGCTTGTTTTTGGCCACAGGACCTCCATCCCCTTGCCATTTATTTCATAGGTAATTCTCATAACTACGTTTTCAGAATTGTTGTAAAGACGAGCAACAGAATGCAAAGTCATGTAGCACATTTGGAGCGCATATTAGATACTCAATGTGCTTTCATTTCTTTCTGCCTTAACCTTAGTCCATTAAAGCTGACCTTGTTGAGTGGCCATTGTGGTGGTCCTTGAAAATTTACTGTTATTTATATTGATTTTATTGATGTTAAATTTTATATTAAATTCCTAAATTATTTAAAGTAAATCCAAAAAAGTTTATTTTTATTTATTTTTGGAAGGGATAACTCTGGTTTTAACTTAATGAAGGAAGCCCTAAAATAAGCACCCATGGAATGTTAATTATAAGCCAAGAATTGCGCTAAGCAGGGTTAGCTATCAGTCTACTCAATAACCACACGAGGAGAATAATATTTATTTCATCTTTTTGCAATTGTGAAAACTCAAGCCTAAAGGGATACAAACAATTCATTCACTTTATCAATGAGCCTTTATTACACCCGGGGCTTAAAACAAGGTCTGTTTCATGGGTTCACTGTCATTTGGGTCAGGTCAGTTGGTTAGTTTGGTCTGCTAGGGTTTGCCCAAACCTGAGTCCCATGTAGAGTAGTGGTGTAAATAGTAACAGAGATGTATTGTCTCCCAGTTCCAGAAGTTGGAATCTCAAGATCAAGGTGCCAGCATCCTTGGTTTCTTCCTGGGCCTGTGGAGGGGGAAATGTGTATCTGGCATCTTCTAAGCTTGTAGATGGATCTTTCTTTTCACACAGCATCCTCTGCTGGTTGGTTGAGCTTCCCCATCAATCCTCTCCACATCTATTCAAATTTCCCCTTCTTGAAGGAACCAGTCAATCTGGTTCAGGACTTACACTATGACCTCATTTGAAATGTGTGTCTGTGACAACCTTCTCTCCATATAGGTCATATTTTGGTATTTTGGGGTTCAGGACTGCTACATATGAAATTTGAAAGGATGTTTCAACCATAAGAGGGACTACTTGTGTCTTCTGAACGGATGGTTGTTGAGTACCCGGATGACCAAAGATGATCACATTCATGCATTTGTTAAAGTGAAGGAAATCAGCCCAACCCCTCAGTTCTCTACACTGCCCCTTATCACTCTGCAGGCCCTTCAAGGCATATTGTCCTAAGGTTTGAGGCTCTTTGGGTACAAGAGAGAGGAGACCACACACACACACACACACACACACACACACACACACACACACACACGTTTTTCTTAAGTCTGTGTTCTCATTCTGTTTGTTTAGGTCTCATTGTCAAGGCAAGACTCCTGGTGTTTCATCCAGAATGAGTAGAGAAACGTTTTCTCAAGACACAGATGTAGAAAAGTAAGTTATAATGAAAAAGCTCATGTTCATATTTAGTTCTTAGGATGTTGAGAAGCCAAGTCCAATATAAAAGCACCATGTTCTACTAAGGAAGAATTAAAGATCATTTGAAAGAGTGAGAAAGTGGCTATATGTAATGTTCATTGCCTTTTTATTTAAATAGAAAAATAGTTCATCCATTATCTACTAAATATTTATTATCAAGGGTACATGTGCAGTACTTTGGGGGTTGGATAGGAAGCAGGATCAGAAGTTCAAGATCATTTTTACAATGTGAGTTTGAGCTATACTTGGTTACATGAAACCCTCAAAAAACCCAGAAAACTATTATTAACCAAGCACACTAGGAGATGCTGATACACAATTGGGTTAAAGATATACCTGCTCTTTATCCTTCATAGATAATTTTCATGAACAAATTTTACAAACATAGAATTGCTGATTGCAATCAGCACAACGAGTTGGGCCAGCTTGGGCTAGGTGTAGAGACCCAGAGGAAAAAAGAAAAATTATTGCTGCTTCATGGGGACAGTAGGGCAGAGAGCATTGAATAAGAAGTGCTAATCCTCCTGCAACCTCACTGGAACCCTGAAACACAGCTTGCTCCAATACGGAGGGGACTTACCTAAATATAATAAAAGCAGTCAATATACAGCAAGCCGGCAGCCAACATCAAATTAAATGGAGAGAAACTCAAAGTGATCCCACTAAAATCAGGAACAAGACAAGGCTGTCCACTCTCTCCATTTCTCTTTAACAGAGTTCTTGAAGTTTTGGCTATAGCAATAAGACAACATAAGGAGATCAAGGGGATTCAAATTGTAAAAGAAGAAGTCAAACTTTCATTATTTGCAGATGATATGGTAGTATATATAAGTGTTCCCCAAAACGCTACTGGAGAACTCCTACAGTTGATAAATACCTTCAGTGATGTGGCAGGATACAAGATCAACTCAAAAAAATCAGTAGCCCTCCTATATACAAATGATAATGAAGCTGAGAGGGAAATATTACCTTTCACAATAGCCACAAATAGCATGAAAGAGCTTGGGGTAATACTAACCAAAGAAGTGAAAAACCTATGTGACAAAATCTTTAGATCTTTGAAAAAAGAAATTGAAGAATATACCAGAAAATGGAAAGATCTCCCATGCTCTTGGATAGGTTGGATCAACAGAGTAAAAATGGCAACCATACCAAAAGCAATCTATAGATTCAATGCAATCCCCATAAAAATCCCAACACAATTTTTCACAGACATTGCAAGAACAATAATTAGCTTCATATGAAAAAACAAAAAACCCAGGATAGCCAAAAACAATCCTGTACAATAAAGGAACTTCCAGAGGCACCACCATCCTGACATCAAACTTTATTACAAATCTACAATAATGAAAACAGCTTGGTATTGGCATAAAAACAGAGAGGTTGGCCAATGGAATCGAATTAAAGACCCAGATATTAATCCACACACCTAGGCACACCTGATTTTTGATAAAGAAGCTAAAATTATACAATGGAAAAAAGAAAGTATCTTCAACAAATTGTGCTGGCATAACTGGATATCAACATGTAGAAGAATGAAAATAGATCTGTATCTATCCCCATGCACAAAACTCAAGTCTAAATGGATCAAAGACCTCAATAAAAATCTAACCACACTGAACCTGATAGAAAAGAAAGTGAGAAGTAGTCTTCAATTCATGGGTTTAGGAGACCACTTCCTAAGTATAACCTCAGTAGCACAAACACTGAGAACAACAATAAATAAATGGGACCTCCTGAAACTGAGAAGCTTCTGTAAAGCAAAGGACACAGTCAATAAGACAAAAAGGCAGCTTACTAAATGAAAAAAGATCTTTGCCAACCCCACATCCGACAAAGAACTGATCTCTAAAATATATAAAGAACTGAAGAAATTAGCCATCAAAATTCTAAACAACCAAGTTGAAATATGGAGTACAGAACCAAACAAAGAATTCTCAACACAAGAATCTCAAATGATGAAAAGATAGTTAAGGAAATGTCCAACATCCTTAGCCATCAGGGAAATTCAAATCGAAACAATTCCGAGATACCATCTTACATCTGTCAAAATGGCTAAGATCAAAAACACTAATGATAGCTTATGTTGGAGAGGACATGGAATAAGGGGAGCACTTATCCATTGCTGATGGGAATGCAAACTTGTACAACCACTTTGGAAATCAGTATGGCAGTTTCTCAGCAAATTGGGAATCAACCTACCTCAGAATCCAGCAATACCACTCTTGGTCATATTCCCCAAAGATGCTCAATCATACCACAAAGGCTTTTGTCCAGCTATGTTCATAGCAGCATTATTTGTCATAACCAGAACCTGGAAACAACCTAGATGGCCCTCAGCTGAAGAATGGATGAAAAAAAAATGTGGCACATTTGCACATTAGAGTATTTCTCAGTGGTAAAAAACAATGACATTTTCAATTTTGCCTGCAAATAGATGGAATTAGAATACACTATCCTGAGTGAGGTAACCCAGTCCAAAAAGTTGAATATGGCATGTACTGACTCATAAGTGGATACTAGCTATAAACAAAGGATATTGAGCCTATAATTCACGATCCTAGAGAAGTTAAGTAATAAGGTGAACCCTAATAAAAACATATATAGATCTACCTGGAGAGTAGAAACAGACAAGATCACCTGACAGAATTACGTGTGTGAAGGTGGGGAGAAACAGGAGGGTAGAAGGGGAAAAGGAGGGGAAAAGTGGAGGGTTGAGGAGAACTTGAGGGATGGGATAGCCAGGAAGGACAGAGAGAAGAGCAAGGAAAGAGATAACTTGGTTGAGGGAGCCATTGTAGGGTTAGCAAGAAACCTGGCTCTAGAGAAATTCCCAGGAATCCACAAGGATGATCCCAGTTAAGACCTTAAGCAATAGAGGAAAGGGGGCCCAATCTTGACTTGCCCTGTAGTCAGACTGATGGATATCTTAAATATCACCATAGAAACTTTATGTAGCAACTGAAGGAAACAGAGGCAGAGACCCATATCGGAGCATTGAACCCAACTCCCAAAAACCAGTTGAAGAGTGAGAGGTGTGAGAATATGAACAAAGGGGTAAAGACCATGTTGAGTACACCCACTGAAACAGTCTATCTGAGCTAATGGATGCTCACCAACTCCAGCATAGGACCAAACTAGTCCCTCTGAATGTGGTTGACAGTTGCATGGCTGGGGCAGACTGGGGGACCACTGGCAGTAGCACCAGGATTTCTCCCTACTGCATGTACTGGCTTTTTGGGAACCAATTCTCTTTGAATGATATCTTGCTCAGCCTTTATATAGTAGGGAGAGCCTTGGACCTTCCCCAGAGCAATGTGCCTTACCCTCTAGGAAGATTGAATTGGGGTGGAGTGGAGGGGGGGTATGTGAAGGAAATGGAA